ACAATGAGAACAATTAACCAGTGGAACCACCTGCCTCCAGAAGCGATGAATGCTCCAACACTGGAAGTTTTTAAGAAGAGACTGGACGGCCACTTGTCTGAAATGGTGTAGGGTTTCCTGCCTGAGCAGGGGGTCGGACCAGATGACCTCCAAGGTCCCTTCCAACTTTATTATTATTATTATTATTATTATTATTATTATTATTATTATTATTATTATTATAGAATTTTGATGGCTTTAGACCTGGAACTTATAAGATCTTAAAGTGTGTTAAGTCACTCCTGCTATCATCATCATCACATCATCATCCATCATCATCATCACATCATCATCATCATCATCATCATCATATCATCATCATCTTGATATGAACATCAAGAAAGGACCTTGAATATCTTCCAGTCCAATCTCTTGCACAAGAAGAAGGCTCTATACCATTTGAGGCAGATGGCTGTCCATCCCTTCTTATAAGCCTCCAGTGATGGAGCACCCACAACCTCTGGATGTTCCACTGATTAATTGTTCTAATTATCAGGAAGTTTCTCCTGCCTTCGGGTGCTTTGGAGAACAGGTTGACTCCCTCTCCTTTGGGGCAGCCCCTCAAATACTGCATTGGACCACTGCTATCGCATGCTATATCTGAGATATATTTATTTATGCAGAGTTTCTAGGCTAGTATTTCTCAATCTTGATGACTTTAAAATGTGTCAACTTCCAGAATTCTCCAGATCCACCAACCGGGATGTGGTTTTTCTCCTTGGCAGTTCCTTGATTACAACTGTTTCCTGCCTGTTTGTTTGTCTGGTGTTAATCCCTGCTTATCCGAGTATAGGCTGCCAGAGAGGATGTGTTTATAAAACTACACTGAGTAGAGTAGAGAGAGCTGTTTAACCCTAGATCAATCTTTCTCAAACTTGGCAACCTTAAGATGTGCTAGTCTTAGCTCCCAGAATGCCTCAGCTAGATTGACTGGGGGATTCTGGGAACTGAAGTCCACACGTCTCAACTCTTCCGAGTTTCAGAAACACCGATCTAGAGTAACTCAAAATCAAAAATGAGTTTGGCGGCATCTTTTAAGACAGCGGGCCCCAACCTTTTGGACATTAGGGACTGGTTCCATGGAGAGACGTTTTTCTGTGGACCGAAGGGGAACATGGTTTCATGTGCTGCCTGCATCCAGCAGATGGGGCTTTGCTTGTTTGAACGGCCCACTTTCTGACATGCCACGGACTGCTGCAGCTTCATGGACTGGGTGGTTGCCCTGTTTTAAGACAATACTGCTTGCCAGTAAGCATGAAGACCTTCAGTTCCTCATCAACAGAGTCACAGAAATATCTGGAAAATACGGCTTGAAGCTTAACACCTCAAAAACCAAGATCATGGTTGTCAGCAAACAACCCGTTAATTTACCATCAATAAATTCAGAAGGAATACCACTAGAAAAAGTTGAAAGGATCACGCACCTCGGTTCCAGTTTGCATGAAAGCTGGGACATGACCGTTGAAGTAAAGACTAGGATAGAAAAAGCCCAAACAGCATTCTTCAAAATGAAAAAAGTCTTCTGCAGTCACGGCATAAGCCTAAGATTGAAAATCAGGCTTGTCAGATGCTATATTTTTTCTATCCTGCTCTATGGAGTAGAGAGTTGGTCTCTGAGAAAAGGCCATCTGAACAGACTAGAAGCATTTGAAATGTGGATTTACAGGCAGCTGTTACGTAGAAGCTGGGCTGACAAGATCAGAAATGAGGAGGGGATAAGCCGCCTGGGAAAGCCAAGGGAAATCATCAAAACAATTAAAAAATGAAAGCTAGAATATTTCGGACACGTGATGCGACACCCAGAAAAATACGGCATGCTCCATTTAATCCTCCAGGGAAAGATGGAAGGCAAACGAGGTCCAGGCAGAAGAAGAACATCGTGCCTTCAAAATCTAAGGGACTGGTTTGGACAAAACTCAGTAGCCCTTTTTCGTGCGGCTGCTGATAAAAACAGGATTGCCAACACGATCGCCAACGTCCGATAACGTATATGGCAGAAGAAGAAGAAGAAGAAGAAGAAGAAGAAGAAGAAGAAGAAGAAGAAGAAGAAGAAGAAGAAGAAGAAGAAGAAGAAGAAGAAGAAGAAGACAAACTTTTTTTAAAAAAATTAATCATGATCTTTCCACCTTAAAACAACCCCTTTTGAATCCATCTGCTGGCTGGCTCACAATCTGAGTCTTAGATTCTCATGATGCAATGCAGACAAAGTTGGTGGGGGCCCAGGGTTGCTAGGAAATCGTAGTGTTTTTGAGTTTGGGTGAAACCGTGAAATTATAAGAGCCACGTTGCAAACGCTTGGGCCAAACTGTGATACAGTACAAAGTGCTATGAAGTGCGTGTGTATGCACGGGTCTGATTGTGACATTGACCCAAATGTCATTTTAGCAGAAGGTTGGGAGATTTCAACCCTCCCTATATAGGCTGAATTGAAATGGCATCTATAGAATACATCCTTAAATTCCCAGGAACTTTTTTAAGGCAGCAGTCTGTCCTGCTTATGTACCTGTGTGCCATCTTTCCACCTGTTCCGTCCCCTGCCTTTGCATTCCAATATTACAAGGGTTAAATTGGTTGTTGTTGTTAATTGCGAAGTCGTGTCCGACCCATCGCAACCCTATGGACAACGTTCCTCCAGGTCTTCCTGTCCTCTATCATCTTCTGGAGTCCATTTAAGTTCACACTTTCTGCTTCAGTGACTCCATCCAGCCATCTCATTCTCTGTCGTCCCCTTCTTCTCTTGCCCTCCGTCTTTCCCAGCATCAGGCTCTTCTCCAGTGAGTCCTTCCTTCTCATTAGGTGGCCAAAGTATTTGAGTTTCAACTTCAGGATCTGGCCTTCTAAAGAGCAATTGGGGTTGATCTCTTCTAGGACTGAATTGGTTAGAGATCTCTAAATTGGTTAGAGATCTCTAAATTAGAGATCTCTAAATTGGTTAGAGATGCTTTTAACTGCTACAAAATTGGACCGCAGTGCTTGTAATTTTGACGTGGAAAGATTGGGCTCCTGCAAGACCTGCCAAAAACTTTTATTTGGAGGGGTTAAAAGAAAAAAAAAAATTGCAGCTGCTCTGGTAACTTTGCAAAAACATTTTGCTCAGATGCAGAATGAAGAACAGACCACCCCATCTGATCCTGGCATGTTATTGTTTTTTTCTTCCCAGCTCTTTTTTTTTTTTAATTAAAGAGTAATGTAGCAGGCAAAAGTTATGCAAGCTTCTAATTATGGTATGTTTCCTCTCCCAAATGGCTTAAAAGATAATACAGACATCCACCCTGGTGATTAGAATTACTGCGTGATTTCTCAATTCCAGGAATTCTTCTAATTGTTTTCATCCCTAGTAGACATTTAATATGATTTGGACCACTACCACGAGAATATGATACCCGGAGTTTTTTATTGCTAATCTTCTGCTATAATCTTCTTCGGTCTGAGTCTTCACAGAGATATGGAGCTCTGTTAAATCTAATTTCTAGGCTCCCAGGAGGGTTGGAGAAGAATGATTATAGTTGGACGTACAGCCAGAGGTTCAGTCTGGATTTGGCATTTTTGTCCACCTATCAAATCCTTCCCAAAGGTCTGGCATAGGCAGAGATTGTTGGAAGGAAGGGAGGGAAGGAGGGATGAGAATGAGAAGAAGGAAGGAAGGAAGGAAGGAAGGAAGGAAGGAAGGAAGGAAGGAAGGAAGGAAGGAGAAAAGGAGGGAGGGAGGGGAAGGGAGGGAGGGGAATGAGAAGAAGGAACAAAAGGAAGGGAGGGAGGGAGGAAAAAGAAGGAAGGAAGGAAGGAAGGAAGGAAGGAAGGAAGGAAGGAAGGAAAGATGGATAGGAATGAGAAGAAGGAAGGAAGGAAAGGAAAGGAAGGAGGGATAGGAATGAGAAGAAGGAAGGAAGGAAGGAAGGAGAAAAGGAGGGAGGGAGGGGAAGGGAGGGAGGGGAATGAGAAGAAGGAACAAAAGGAAGGGAGGGAGGGAGGAAAAAGAAGGAAGGAAGGAAGGAAGGAAAGGAAAGATGGATAGGAATGAGAAGAAGGAAGGAAGGAAGGAGAAAAGGAGGAGGGAGGAAGGAAGGAAGGAAGGAAGGAAGGAAGGAAGGAAGGAAGGAAGGAAGGAAGGGAAAGATGGATAGGAATGAGAAGAAGGAAGGAAGGAAGGAGAAAAGGAGGAGGGAGGAAGGAAGGAAGGAAGGAAGGAAGGGAAAGATGGATAGGAATGAGAAGAAGGAAGGAAGGAAGGAAGGAAGGAAGGAGAAAAGGAGGAGGGAGGAAGGAAGGAAGGAAGGAAGGGAAAGATGGATAGGAATGAGAAGAAGGAAGGAAGGAAGGAAGGAAGGAAGGAAGGAAGGAAGGAAGGAAGGAAGGAGAAAAGGAGGAGGGAGGGAGGAAGGAAGGAAAGAAGGAAGGAAAGGAAGGAGGGATAGGAATGAGGAAGGAAGGAAGGAAAGGGGAAGGAAAGAAAGAAAGAAGGAGAAAAGGAGGAGGGAGGGAGGGAGGAAGGAAGGAAGGAAAGAAAAAAGAGCAATGAGAGGATGAGAAGGAGGGAGGGAGGGAGGGAAAGTAGGAAGGAAGGATTGCCACAATAATTCAGCCAAAGATACCGTAATTTCCGGCGTATAAGACGACTCAGCGTATAAGACAACTCTCGACTTCGGCGCCGATTTCCACGCTTTAGAAAGTCGTCTTATACGCCGGAAAATACAGTATATCAGCTGAATACAGCAAAGACTTCAAATCCAGATTTAAAAGACCGAAACACGGAGTGGCCTCTGCCTAGAACAGCCAAGCTCTTGATGTGTCAAGCTCTTCATGTGTTTCCTCCCACCTTCATTTTCTTCCAATCTGAAGTTTATCTCATCCCGTGTTTGCAAAGACGTGGACCTCCTTTGGGAGTGCAAGCGTACAAACCAACAAAAAGAGCATTTCTCTCCCCCTCGCCATGTCATTGATCCATCTCTCCTCCTTTCTAGACTCCCCTCCAGTATAGTCAAGCCACAAACCGAAGTAATCAAGTGAGACTCTATTGTGCTTTTCTGGATTACAGGTGAGTGTCATCCTGGTATAAAACTTATTTGTTGCCATGTGCGCCCAGCTGTGTCACCTGCTCAACACCCCCCCCCCCCCGCCTGCTGGTTTCACAGGAAGAAGACTCCAAATAATGAAATCATGATTCTTCTCGGCAGCAAAGCTAAAACAGAGGACTGGGTCATTATTAACTCAAGTCTGGTGGGAGCAGACTTGTTTTTGTTTTGAAAAAAAAAACCAACCCTCATATCTGGCAAAAAAAGGGGAAAACCACTGGAATCCTTGTGTGATGCAGCCCGACCATATGGCCTTTTTGGGACTGGCACCATCCCTTAAGTTCTCATCCTTTGGTTGAATCTTACGAAGCCCAACATTTGTGGCTGGAGAGACAAGTTTGAGCTCCAGATTGCCAAACCAGAGGACATTGTTTTTATTTGATGGGTAGCTTGGAGGAACGTTCCCACTCCTGGAAGATGGGGCTGGGATGACCTGTGGATATCTGATGGTGGGTATCCCAAAGATGCTTTTTCATGAAGCAACTGGACTTTCTTGTTTTTCTTTGAAGACGTTTCGCTTCTCATCCCAGAAGCTTCTTTGGCTCTGACAGGATGGTGGGGAATGGAAGGATTTATACTCCTTGCAGACTGCTGGTCATTTGTGTTCTTTTAGTGAGTCGTTGATGCCACTTGGAGGTTTATCTGTGTCCTCAGGGTCACCTGAGTGGTGCAAATGGGCGTGGAGCCTTCTTGGAACTGTTGAACGGACCATGTTGTAGACTGGAGATAGATGATGTCGTATCCCTCCCCCTCTGTTGAGAGAGACATTATCTATCTCCAGTCTACAACACTGTCCTTTCAACAGTTCCAAGAAGGATCCACATACATTTACACTACTCAGGTGACCCTGATGACACAGATAAACCTCCAGGTAGCATCAACGACTCACTAAAAGAACACAAATGACCAGCAGTCTGCAAGAAGTATAAATCCTTCCATTCCCCAGTCAGATTTGAAGAAGCTTTTTGGATGAGAAGTGAAACATCTTCAAAGAAAAACAAGAAAGTCTAGTTGCCTCTTGTAAAAGCATCTTTGAGACAAGCATGTTACTGTTTCACATTATTCATTATGGTTTCACTTCTTTAGAAGCTTTCAAGCCTAAAAACATTGTTAAATAAATAACCTGGGCACAAAAAAAAGGATAGTGGGGTACCTTGGTACTGATCATTAATTGGTTCCAGGAGCACCAAAAACGATGAGTACCAAACAATTTTCCCCCAAAAGAAATAATGTAGTGAGTCACACAAAGCAGCTGACACCGACAAGTTCTAGCTTGTATGCTGAATACCAAACAAACAATGAGTACCGGGAGAAAATGTTCACATCAAAATGCGCTGAGTATCAGATTCGATGAGTTTCAAAGCTGTTCAGTACCATTGTAGGTCCATCTTTTGCAGAAACGGAAGCGGTGTTTGGTCCAACAAAGGCTGTGTGCGCGATGGGGGTGACCTCAATTATTCCATCTGCTTGTGCAACCATCTCACCAGTTTCGCCATTTTGATGCAAGTGGTGCCACTAACGGTAAGCCAAGCCGAAATATTCATAACTGTGGTTTGTAGGCAAAATAATAGACCTGGATCACTTAGACATTCTTTTTTTTAAAAAAAAAAATCTAGAACAGGGCTCTTCAAACTTGGCCCTTTTATGACTTGTGGACTTCAATTCCCAGAATTCCTCAGCCAGCATGCCTGGCTGAGGAATCCTGGGAGTTGAAGTCCACAAGTCATAAAAGGGCCAAGTTTGAAGACCCCTGATCTAGAATCTTGGTAAGTTACAATGGGCTTAGTTTAATATCAAGACTTAGACGTTGAGGTCTTCCTAACCAATGGTAGCTAGTCATGTGGTCTTGTAGAGGTGGAACTGCTGGATGACCTTCGGCCAACAAAGTTTATGGTGGAACCTCCACACTAGAACTTCTTGGTCTTGAAATTCAAGCTAACAAATGCTCCAACGTAGGAGACCCAAATAGATTGTTTCCTAAGGAATATCTGCAGAGGTTCCTGGTCACACCGTCACAACACAAGTGCCACCTCTTTTATCTGTGCACGTGATGTTATGATGCATGTCAAAATTATTAGTAATGGAACTAGACTACTCTCCTTTCATCTTTCTGTCCCTCTGGACTGTCCATTTTTAAGCCACCTCAAAGAAAAATGATGTTATTCCTCCTGCTGTTTGGTTATCTCGGACATCGTCTTCATACGCGGCGTTTTAATGTCCTTAATCGATGGCTGAAATTTAGCTGGGTTCTTCAGACTCCTTTCATGAAGTCTGAAGGACACAGAAAAGGACACTGTTTCAGCCGTAACTTGGCCAAACAGCAGGAGAACCACAGCTCAGTGGGAAATTGGATCAAGTTCCATGGGATCTCAGAGACCCCTGTTAAAATCTCAAACCACATGGCAGCCTTGCTGTTCCTGCTCCATGCCGGCTGGTTCGACTCTTGCCTTTTTCTTGGCAAAGGGACCTAATTAACCGGGCTGGATCCAAGGATCAGATGGATGACACAAACCTTGGCACGGTCACACGTCCGCTTTGTATCATCTAAGCAAATGGGAATTCATCTCCACCTCTTGTTTGCCAAGGACTTCGGTGCCGATCGGCTGGGCTAAGAAGAAGACAATTATACAATTACGATTCACTGGGGAAAAAAAGCTGCAAGCGCTTATAGAGATGGCTTCCTCCACAAATGGTTTTGCATTCAATTATTTGCCTTGAGTATGTGTTCTCTCTGCACAGAGGGTTCTAATCCAGTGAGACCCCTTGCCAATATTTGCACAGTTCCTAAAATTTATTTTATTCACAAAGATTCATTTCCCTCCTTTTTCTGCTCCCCCCCCAACCCCAAACCTCACCTGCTTTCTTTCTCTCCTTAACAAGTGGCTGGTTCATTTCATAGGCATTGATTTACTTTACAGACAGGATAAATTTATCTTCCACTTTCTGGAATTTTTCACTGTTGGGGGGGGGAATGTATTTGCGCCAGATAGGAGATTCTGCACTGCGCGCCTGTAATTCTATACATGCCAATTTGATAAACATGGAGCCTGCCAATCACATAGCCAAAGAAACTTTGACTACTCCGTGCAGTTATTCAGAACGTTTTAGTTCTTTGCTCCCTCCCTCATTTTCCGAAAAGGAATTAAAAAAATGAAACCAATTTCCGTTCCTTTAAGTGATTTCCACTTTGAAAAAATTTAAAAGGCAAACTCAGCTTCAAAAAAAAAAAACATGATCCAGCATGAAGACTATCCCAGAGAGGCAGGTATTAGGTTTTCTAAGGACCCCTAATTGTGTGTGATAAAGATTTATACACTTTATATAAGGAAAACATGAAATAAACTTCCCATTCTGGCAAAACGTCTATTTGGCCAGAGTTGCAATAAATTTTGGGTTAGGACCGTAGTTTATTTTTTTTATTTTTTCCCCCTTTAGTTTCTTGGCAGAATTCATCTGGCTTTTGTTTGCTTCCCGTTTAATGGATTAAGTTTATTCTAGGGTTTACCCAACCATTTTATCATGCAGTTTGCGGAGGGAAAAAAACCAGGTACATATGGTGCCAGCAAACTTTGGCATTTATAACTAGTGGAATTCAACAACAAGATTAATAGGAGATTTAGGGACTGAAAAAAAGTGAGGGGAAAGAAGACTCAAAGATTTCAGAACTGGAAGATTTCCAATCTCTGCTTTATAATCTTCTATATTAACTCCAATGGCTCTAATGTCTTCTGCAACAGGAATAGAATTAGAATTAGAGTAGAGTAGAGTAGAGTAGAGTAGAATAGAATAGAATAGAATAGAATAGAATAGAATAGAATAGAATAGAACAGAACAGAACAGAATAGAATAGAATAGAATAGAATAGAATAGAATAGAATAGAATAGAATAGAAGCTGGAAGGGACCTTGGAGGTCTTCTAGTCCAGCCCTCTGCTCAAGCAAGAGAACCTATATCATCTCAGACAAATGACTATCTAGCCTCGTCTTAAAAACCTCCAGTGATGGAGCACCCACAATTTCTGGAGGCAAAGCTGTTTCACTGGTTAATTGTCCTCATTGTTAGGAAGTTTCTCCTTAATTCCAGGTTGCTTCTCTCCTTGATTAGTTTCCATCCATTGTTTCTTGTCCTTCCCTCTGGTGCTCTGGTGAATAACGTGACCCTCTGTGCCCTATGGCAGCCCCTCAGATACTGGAAGACTGCTATCATGTCTCCCCTATTTCTTCTTTTCTTTAGACTAGCCAAATCAAAGTCCTGCGGCCGTTCCTCGTATGTTTTAGTCTCCAGGCCTTTGATCATAGTTGCTCTTGTCTGAATTTTTTCCAAACTCTCAACTTCTTTTTTGTGATATGGTGACCAAAAGTTGGCTGCAGTATTCCAGGTGTGGTCTGACTAGGGTTTTATAAAGAGGTACTAATGATTCACGTGATCTTGATTCGATGCCTCTGTTTATACAACCCAAGATTGTATTAAGCTTTTTTGGTTGCTGCTGCTGCACAGCATAGTCAAGTGATCGTCCACTGGGATTCCAAAGTCCCTGTCACAGTTGCTGTTTTTAAAGGAACAAGAAGACCATCTTCTCCCAAGGCTGCATCACACGTTAAATGATGCTAAGTGCCCTGGCCAAAACTCAGATGCATTCCTCCAACACTTGTGAGGTACTTAGTGCTCTCTGAGCTTGGTTCCCTTCTTGCAGACGTTCCACCATCCAACTAGGTAACATCTTCAGGGCTTCAAGCAGACCCACCTCCCTTCTAGTGCTGATCCTAGAATCATGGGGCTGGAAGGGACCTTGGATGGTCTTCTAGTCTGACCCTCTGCCCAAGGCATCCCATTTTGAACAAATGGTTGTCCAAATCTTTTCTTGAAAACCTCCAGTGATGGAGCACCTACGACTCCAGGAGGCAAGCTGTCCCACTGCTTAATTTTTCTTATTGCCAGGAAATTCCTCCTTTGTTTCATCCCCCTCTGACAAACTTCCACCTGTGGCTTCTTGTTCTGCCCTCTCCTCTTACCTGTGACAGCCCTTCAGTGTATTGCAGGGGTGTCAAATTTAATTTCACTGAAGGCCGCATCAGCATTGCGGTTGCCCTCGGGAGGTGTGTGTGGCCAGGGTGGGTATGGCCTACTGGGTGGGTGTGGATGGAGTGGATGTGGCCTATTGGGTGGGCATGGCCAGCTCTACATCGTTCGCGTCAAGGGTGCCTGTGGGGGCCTGGGCAGGAATGGGACAGATCTGAGGATCTCTGGCAGAAGGGGGTGGGACCGGGCCAAGCGCCAAGCCATGGTCCACTGGAGGAGCCTCACTGCCTGCCGAAACCCCTCCGCCAGAGCCCATCAAGCCGGATATTTGAAGTAGGCGAGGGCCATTTGCTGGCCACTTCCAGGCGATAGTGCATTTCTTCATTCCCCACAAAGGGTGACACCTCCCCAGCATGTACCCAGGGGGCAGGGCTGATGCGGCAGGGGCTGGTTCCTCGCTGTTTCCAGACGGCCTTTGGAGCTAAGACTGAATGCGTTTCAGCATAGATGGCCACCACAAAATTGTACATTGGCTCCCAGCTGACCTGGGCCAGGGCCAAAGCAGCGGGGGCCGTTCCCTCACTGTTTCCAGGATGGCTTTGCGGGCCAAATGAAACTACTTCGTGGGCTGCATCCGGCCCCCGGGCCTTGTGTTTGACACGTCTGAAATATTGGAAGACAGCTATCATATCGCTAAACCTTCTCTTCATTAGCCCAAATATGCCTAGTTTCCTTAACCGTTCATCATACAATATTGCTGATACCTAGTTGAGTAATGTGACATCTGCAAGAAAACAACCAAGTTATCAAAGACACCCTCCCCCCCCCGAGTTCAATCCTAAGTTACAAATATCCAGGATAAGCAGCGCATGCATTTTCATCCAGATCTGAATTATTCTGCATATTAAACTCCTTGATAAAATAACTTCTGGGGATGCTGACTTTGCAAGCTTAGCACATCACCACTAATATAATTTAATTACTCGTTTATGTAATACATAAATTAATTTGGACATAAACTTTCTTCGGGACACCTCCATAAAGAGCAGATGTAATAAATAAATAATCTTAATCGTGCCTTTGGTGGATATTGACTTATTTACAGAGGCAGCCAATGGCCGTATTTCAAGGCAGCGATTTCAACAGGGAGTCCAAACAAAGCATATGGAAGATTTTAGCGCCTCTACTTCGCGTTGGCCACAGAGCAAAATCCCATGGAATGGCAGTTCTTATTTTGGAAGGCTAAATATATCGATGTTGGAGGATTCTGCGGCCATATGGTGTTCAGATTTCATACCGGCATTGGCCCTATTAGGCTCGTGATAAATCGGCATGGGGTGAGACTTGAGTGGCTTCTGTCTTGATTGTTTGGCGATGGTATCTCCATCACCGTCCTGTCTTCCAAAAAATGCTTTCAATCGGAATAGAGTTGGAAGGGAACTCAGTGATCTTCTAGTCCAGCTTCCTGCTCAGGCAGGAGACCCTATACCATTTCAGACAAGTGGCTGTCCAGTCTTTTCTTAAACACCTCCAATGTTGGAGCATTCACCGCTTCTGGAGGCAAGATGTTCCACTGGTTAATTGTTCTAACTCTCAGAAAATTTCTCCTTAATTCCAGGTTGCTTCTCTCTTTGGTTAGTTTCCATCCATTGCTTCTTGTCCTGCCTTCAGGTGCTTTGGAGAACAGCTTGACTCCCTCTTCTTTGGGGCAGCCCCTGAGATATTGGAACACTGCTATCATGTCCCCCCTCCTCCTTCTCTTCATTAAGCTGGACATACCCAATTCCAGCAGCCGTTCCTTATAGGTTTTAGCCTCCAGTCCCCTGATCATCTTTGTTGCTCTTCTCTGCTCTCTTTCTAGAATCTCAACATCTTTTTTACATCGCGGTGACCAAAACTGAATGCCGTATTCCAAGTGTGGCCTTCCCAACGCCTTGTAAAATGGTATTAACACTTCACGTGATCTTGATTCTCTCCCTCTGTTAATGCAGCCTAGCACTGTGTTGGCTTTTTTGGCAGCTGCAGCACACGGCTGGCTCATGTTTAAGGGATTGTCCACTAAATGTTTCATCCACTTTTTCTTGCCTTGCCTTCTGGTGCTTTGAAAAATAAGTTGACTCCCTTACAAAGGAATCCATCCCGTTTGCTCAAAGGGTTGAAGAAGTGCAGAGGTCTCTGGACGGGACCAACAATGAACTAGAGCAGGGGTAGGTAACATTGGCCCCCTCATGACTCGTGGACTTCAACTCCCAGAATTCCTGAGCCAGCATGGGGGAACTATGGTCCCCTCATGACTCGTGGACTTCAACTCCCAGAATTCCTGAGCCAGCATGGCTCAACTTGGAAACCTCTCCCTGTCCCCTCAGCACAGCTGGCTCAGGAATTCTGGGAGTTGAAGTCCACGAGTCATCAAAGAGCCAAGGTTGCCTACCCCTGAACTAGACAGTATCTTTTAAATTCCCAGGGACGATGTCTTTCTCTAGTGGGCTTACAGGTTGTCCTCGACTTACAGCAATTCATTTAGCGACTGTTCGAAGTTACGACGGCACTGAAAAAAGGGACATGATCAGTTTCCACACTTGCAGCATCCCTCTGGTCAGGTGATCAAAATTCAGACGCTTGGCAACTGATTCATATTTTTGATGGTTGAAGCGTCCTGTGCACACACGATCCTCTTTTGCGGCCTTCTGACAAACAAAATCAACGGGGAAAGCCGGATTCACTTAACAACCGTGTTACTAATTTAACAACCGCAGAGATTCTCTTAGCAGCGAGTGCAAAACAGGTTGTAAACTGGTCAAAACTCGCTTAACAACCAAAATGTTGGTCGTAAGTCGAGGATTACCTGCCTATTTCCCTTTTATTTCTCCTGCCACCCAATTTTTCACGCAGACTCATAAATTCTGGAGAAACCCTTTGCAGGTACTGTCCTTGTACCTCGAACAGGGGCAATTAAATACATCTTGAATTTCCTCCACCTTTGCTGTCGGATATTTTATCAGGTCGGGATCATTCTGCCTTTTGATGCAAGCCTTGATTTGCAGTGTGTTTGCTAGGCAAAGCTATTTTTCCATCGGAAGGAGAAATTAGATTTTTTTCTGGAGTAGAAACCTTGAACGAACAGTCAATCAGGAAAGCATCAGGGAAGGTTAAACAAAGCGAAGACAAAGACCTTGGTTTTGCCATGCCACGAAGACTGGAGGCCACACAATGAATTTTCTGTTGGGCATCGCAGAGCAGACAAATGCATATTTATGCATTGGTACACAACAAGCGAGTCAATATTCCTGCGGTGGTCACCTGCCTTTTTGAGAAACTAATTACGGAGAATAATAACCAAGCTTCCCTACCCGAGAGAAATAACATGTGGCATAAATGCTCTCCTATTTCATCATTAATTAAAAATGACTTCAAGCAAATTTGCTTTGCTTTCAAACTCAGCTCGCCACACAGAGACCGTGCAAATTGGTTCACGAATGGGCAGAGGAAGGCAACTTGGTAGGTCTTTGATTGGGTAGAAGTGCATTCGTCTCTAAGATTAGTGATGCGGTTGAGCAGGGCTTGGAATTTGTGGTGCTTTGAAGTGTGTGGAAGTGCAAATGTAGAGCCAGTTTGGTGTAGGGGTTGAGGTGCTGGCCCTGAAACCAGGAGGCAGTGAGTTCTAGCCCTGCCTGAGGCACGAAAGACAGCTGGGTGACTTTGGGACAATCACCAGGAGACGGTGAGTTCTAGTCCTGCCTTAGACCTGAAAGTGGCTGGGTGACTTTGGGACAAACACCAGGAGACGGTGAGTTCTAGTCCTGCCTGAAGCATAAAAGCAGGCTGGGTGACTCTGGGACAATCAGTAGGAGATGGTGAGTTCTAGTCCTGCCTGAGGCATGAAATCAGGCTGGGTGACTTTGGGACAATCACCAGGAGATGGTGAGTTCTAGTCCTGCCTGATACATGAAAGACAGCTGGGTGACTTTGAGCCAATCATCAGGAGACAGTAAGTTCTAGTCCTGCTTGAGACATGAAAGCAGGCTGGGTGACATTGAGCCAATCACCAGGAGATGGTGAGTTCTAGTCCCGCCTTAGGTATGAAGCACATCGCCACCACTCTTCCACTTTTTTGTCTCCCAAAGAAGTTTCCAATCAAGATGAAAACGAAAACACAGCCTTGTAATTCTCACTAAATAAACGAGAGCCAGAAGTTCACACACAGTTGGAAGATCTGAAGGACCAACTGGGGACAGATCCCCCCGGAATAAAATCTATCTATGTGGTCACTAAGAGTCAACATTGACTTGATGGCGCCAAACCCATCAACTCACAGACCTCTTGTAAGAACAATCCATGGTCTAATTTACAAATCAGGAACAATTAAGCTTTAAAAATCCCAAAACAAAACCTGTAGGGATTCTGGAAGATGTCTTCATCTCATTCGAAGTTTATTTTCCTGTTTTTTGTCACAACTGTGAACTCTTGATCGCTAACAGATGGTGGAGATGTTTGCCTGTCGAATGGATTGGCTTGGCTTAGTTTCTTAGACTAGTTCTTGATTTATTTATTTTTTTAATCTCCAGAGAACATTCTAATTTTTTAAAAAAACATTTCACGTGTGAGTTGGATGTATCTTTTTTTTTTTAATAACCCAGTTAGGAGATAGTGAAGAATCATTAAATACAATTTCTCATTCTTTCTTTCTTTCTGCAGCTAACAAATGGACACAAGGTGGCATTGTCTTCTATCAGTTACGTAGGATGCTCTATTTCCATTTTCTGCTTGACTATCACCCTGGTCACGTTTGCAATTCTGTCGTGAGTAATTTTTACTTTTCTTCCCGCTGAGCCAATATCAGCCTGGAAATATAGATAGTCAGTTGGGGGAAAGAAAAAAAAAAGAATCTCAAAAAAAAAAAAAAAAAAATCCCCAACTCCACAACTCCATTTGCAAGCCACTGGACTGACTGCTTCCAGGTGCTGAGCATTTCATACAAAGGTTATTAATTCCTTAAACCTTAATTAGATGCTGCCCGTACATTAGTAACACTCAGTTGAGTTTGGTGTAAATGACTTTAATTTCTTGGAAGTGGGAAGCTTTTAAACCTAGCGGGTTATTTCCTTGTCATTTATTCTCAAGCTATTTACAGAGGTTTGGTATTCCCCATGGTGGGTTCCCACAAAAGCTTGAAAACTACAGCTCCCAAACTTGCAGCAAAATTGAAAGGCTTGGGACTTGTAGTCCTAAAGCCTCTTGAGTGAGCCTATTGGAGAAAGTAGCAGAATTTCTTTGACCCCCTAGATATTGAAATGAGGAAGGGACCAGCAGTGAAGTGAATAGAAGGGTCTGTGATTTGCAGAAGTAAGATAAGGATGTTATTATAGATTGCTGGGCAATGCTTTGGATTTGACTGCAGAAAGAATGCTTTGCTGAAGAGACAAATTAAGCACCTGTGCACAGTTCTTTATAGCAGGGGTCCCCAACCCTTGGTCTGTGGACCGGTAACGGGCTGCGGCATGCCAGCAACCGGGTCGCACAAACAAGCAAAGCCCTGTCCACGGGATGCAGGCAGCCACAAAACCACGCCCCTCCGGTCTGTGGAAAAACCTTTCTCCACGTAACTGGTCCCTGGTGCCCAAAAGGTTGAGGACCTCTGCTTTAGAGAATCCCATCTTGTCAGGCACAGAAGACCAGGTTCACACATGAAGGACCAATTAAACTGATTCATTGCTAAAAGCCGATGCACAGGAGTCTTTTCAAATAAGGATTAGAACCTGCTGAGAGTTAGATAAGGGTCAACAGAATTCAAGGGAGCTTGGACTTAGTTGTGGCCATGTAGGGATTCTAGGCTGATCCCTCTCTTGACTCCACCCTCAGGGTTCTGCCACCCCTACTCCCCTTTGCCCAGAATCGTTTCCTAAACACCACCAAAACGTCTTTACAAATTTAATAAATAATAATAATAATAATGATAATAATAATAATAATAATAATAATAATAATAATAATAATAATAATAATAATTGATAATCGCACAGTCAGCCAGATGTTCAGATTGGATTTGGCCTTTTTGTCTACCTATGGAGTCCTTCCTAAGGACCTGGGATAGGCAGATGTGGATGTTTGATGGTATTAGATATCATTGCAGGATGGAAGCAGTTCCTAGTAAGGCTGCCTTTTGCAATTGACTAATGGCGAATTTGTCAATGCCAATGGTGTTCAAATGGTGCTCCAATTATTATTATAATAATTATGTTGTTGTTGTTGTTGTTATTTATGGAGCAGAACTAAATTGAAAGCATTGCAAATCCTTATAGTTGTGAAGTCTGGTTTTGTGGTGAGGAAGACTCTGCTGTCTTCTAATGGCATGGATCAAAGGTGCGGTGCAACTTAGCCTTCCATGTCAGATGTCCTTCAAAGGGGGTGGTCCATAGGCAGATAAGAATAATAATTTATAGATGTCTGGAGATTATAATGACTGGAAGATCCAACAAGATGTCTCAACCAGACTAGCCTAACCGGCAATTTAAGAGTTATGGTGAGTGGTGGGATTCAGCTGGTTCGCACCACTTGGGCAGAACCGGTAGCTAATTTTTTTGTTGCCCAGGCCCAGAATGGACTTCTGGAAGCAGCATCCACACAGAGAACCGGTTGTTCACCTATTTGAATCCCATCACTGGGCATATCCCCTTGATCGTTTGGCCTTCAATCAACAAGAGTTACTGGGCAACCTTAATGGATAATTCTGTTTTCCATGAAGTCCCAACACACCCTACAATTGTGTGAAATGCAGTCCGGAGATCCATCTGGGAGGCTATTTGTCTACATTTCTGAAGTCAGTTTGGCAGACTGAACAAATCAGATGCCTCCAAACCAACCCAGTTGATGACCCTTCGGGGGCACAGAAACACCTCTTTAGGCTACGATTCAGAAATATGAATGGAAGCCCATCCTGTTGACCATGTCATCTGAACCCAATGGCATTGATTTCGCCAATCCATGGATCAGACTGGATCCTTTCTTCAAATGACCCGGGCTATTCCAATGAGATTTTGCTTAACTCACCCGAGCGTAGCAAATACCAGCGCTTGCGGTCCGCCTCAGCTGGAGGGTTCTCTGAGAAACATTTGCTTAGTCTTCCAGAATGCCAATTTAACTGTGCTTTGGGGAGGCTAATAATACGTTTTTCTTATTTCCATATATATAGCCAAATCACTTCAAGGTAGAGAATGCAACAATGAGGTATTTACGAAAGTGCCAGCTTTCGAATGAATATGCAAATGGCCTTCTTCATCGATCTTGCTCACTTAATTTGAGCCCCGTTGGCATCCAGTGAGTTACTCCCGCTTACGCATCTGAAGAGGGTCAAAACCCAAAACGCATTAACATGAAACCACTTAGGCTGATTCGCAAAAACGTGCACCGATTTAAACCCCAAAAGGTTAGGGTGATACCAATAAAGGAGAATTATTGGTAAGCTTTGAAAGGATGGGTCCAGAGATCCAAAGATCCCTCAGGTTAGGGTGAAAACCCTCAAAACTGAATGGGTAAAATATTCATATTTCCTCTTCTCCCTTCCCTTGTTGGGCTTGCAAGGGGCGAATGCAAATTCTAGGAATTTATTCTAGTTCCCTTATGTGAAACACAACAACCTTTCGACATTGTCATTTGGTTTTAATTAGTGTTGATTAAATCCAGAGGCAGTTCGGGAAAGGAGGGGAGATGCCCCCATTTGTTGTTTTTTTTTCAACTTTGCCAAGCATCAGGAATGTTGTGTGAGCCTGCAGGAGGATGTGTCCATCAAAAGACTTTAAAAAGCAATGAAATCTAGTTAATATTGCAAAAGTTCAATGCATGGGTGCCAAGCAGGGTTGGCCTCAGGAAAAGACTACCCCAATTAAAACCTAACTATATAGCCTTGCCTTCCTAAATGGAGGGCTAAGCCAATTAAGAGGTAAGAGAGGAGAGAGAGAGAGAGAGAGAGAGAGAGAGAGAGAGAGAGAGAGAGAGAGAGAGAGAGAGAGAGAATAGATATAGATAGAGAGATGATAGACAGAGAGGATGATAGAGATGATAGACATGACAGAAATGATGAGAGAGAGATATGATAGATAGAGAGAGATTAGAGACAGAAATGATAGAGAGATGAAAGAGAGAGATGATAGAGATGACAGAAATGATAGAGAGATGACGGAGAGAGATGATAGAGATGAGAGGGAGAGGGAGGGAGGAAGATGGAGATGGAGAGAGAGATGGAGATGGAGATATATAGAGAGAGATGATAGAGATGACAGAAATGATAGAGAGAGAGATTATAAAGATGAGAGAGAGGGAGGGGGAGAGAGGGAGAGAGATGAGAGAGAGAAATGAGAGAGATGATGGAAATGATAGAGATAGATAGAGAGATGATAGAGAGAGAGGATAGACATGGCAGAAATGATGAGAGAGAGATGAGAGATGATAGAGGTAGAGAGAGATTCGAGATGACAGAAATGATAGAGAGATGTGGGTGAGAGAGAAAGAGAGAGATAATAGAGATGACAGAAATGATAGAGAGAGAGATGACAGAGATGATCGATAGAGAGAGATGATAGAGATGAGAGGGAGAGGGAGGGTGAAAGATGGAGATGGAGAGAGAGATGCAGATGGAGATATATATATAGAGAGATGATAGAGATGACAGAAATGATAGAGAGAGAGATTATAGAGATGAGGGAGAGGGAGGGAGGGAGAGAGAGGTGGCATCTGACATAGAAGTGATGGGCACTTGGATATGTAGAATGGAACTCATCTTGGTGGTCCTCTCAGATGGATGACAACAGATCCCCCAATCATTTCTCCAAAACAATGTTTTTCAATCTTGGCAACTTTAGAATAGAATAGAATAGAATAGAATAGAATAGAATAGAATAGAATAGAATAGAATAGAATAGAATATTGGAATAGAATAGAATAGAATAGAATAGAATAGAATAGAATAGAATAGAATAGAATAGAATAGAATAGAATAGAATAGTTGGAAGGGACCTTGGAGGTCTTCTAGTCCAACCCCTGTTCAGGCAGGAAACCCTATACCATTTCAGACAAATGGTTATCCAATCTCTTCTTAACAACCTCCAGTGTTGGAGCATTCACAACTTCTGGAGGCAAGTTAAGATGGGTGGACTTCAACTCCCAGTACTCTACTGAAATATTTCAATTTTCAAAGCACTCCCAGAACTTCCCAACCCAATATTTTAATTTTCAGAGTACTAATGGATGTGGCTTTTTTCCCCCCGCAGCTCTGTCAGTACCATCCGCAACCAGCGTTACCACATCCATGCCAATCTTTCATTTGCTGTTTTGGTGGCTCAGATCTTGCTCCTGATCAGCTTCCAGTTTGACCCTGGGACGGTGAGTGAAATGGATGTTCTTCTGAATTGGGCGTCAACTCAGCAATGGTGGAGAATAATAGAATAACAGAGTTGGAAGGGACCTTGGAGGTCATCTAGTCCAACCCCCCCTGCTCAAGCAAGAAACCTTATATCGCTTCAGACAAATGGCTGTCCGGTCTCTTCTTAAAAACCTCCAGTGATAGAGGACCCACAATTTATCATAACTGATCTCTGAGCGTGACAATTTGGATGCCAACATTTCGTCTCCATTCGAGGGGACGTATTTAGCGCGCTTTGAATTGTGCTCGTCTGTCAGAGCACTGGCCTTTCAGTATCCTTTTTGTGTGATGTAAGTTGGCGTGGGTGTTACGCATCCAGATGTTTCTGAGTCATGGTCACATGAGCCCAATTCAAAGCCCGCTGAAGATGTCCCCCCCCCCAAATGGAGACAAAACGTTTGCAGCCCAATCGCCAAGCTTGGAGATCAAATCAACAGCCGAACTACCAATCCAAGCTACTTATATTCAAACACATCTTAGTCATAATTGATGTTAATTCATCCAGCTAATTATAGAACAAAGAATGATGGAATTGGAAGGGACCTTGGAGGTCTTCTAGTTTAGGGGTCTTCAAACTGGGGCCTTTTATGACGTGGACTTCAACTCCCAGAATTCCTCAGCCAGAGTGCCTAGCTGAGGAATTCTGGGTGTTGAAGTCCACAAGTCATAAAAGGGCCACATTTGAAGACCCCCTGTTCTAGTTCAACTCCATGCTCAAGCAGGAGACCTTATACCATTCCAGACAAGTGACTGTCCAGTCTCTTCTTAAAAGCCTCCAGTGACAGAGCACCCACAATGTCTGGTGGCAAGCTGTTCCACTGGTTTATTGTCCTCACTGTTAGGAAGTTTCTCCTAACAGATTGCTTCTCTCCTTGATTAGTTTCCATCCCTTGCTCCTTGTCCAGATGTTTTGGATAATAAACTGACTCTCCCCCCCCTCTTCTTTGTGGCAGCCCCTCAAGAAGACATGGTTCCCTGTCACCCCTAGTTCTTCTTTTCACTTTTCACAGCACACCGCTCAGCTGAGAAATGTCTCAAGGGTTATCCAAATATTTATCTCTTCCACCCAATTTTGCCTAAACTGAACATTCCCCGCTGACAATGCATGTTTGTCACCCAATTCTGCACTCCTTACTCTCTTTTGAACAGCAGGCCCCGGCCTTTTAAAGAGGACCCCTCTTTATTTTTAAACAATTTGTCACCGCTTCATTATATGGCGGCCACCGTGCTGACAGGCATATAATGTCGCTGGCATTTAAATAAGCAGGTTATTCATTTCACATTTGCTCGACAATAGTCGGTGCACGGTAAACATGACAAATGTTTGTGTTTTCCCTTTGATTTGCACTGAAAAATAAAGGCGGAGATTAATCACAACGCAGCGGTTGCTGTTTAACTTGATAATTAATGCTATTAATAACCATAATGATCATCATGTGGTTTCATCGGAAATTCTCCTGGCCTTTGGTCAAACAGGGAACCCCCCCCCTTATTTCCCTGGGAGAAAAACAGCACAGCAAAGAGGCAATACAACGTGAAGAAAAAATTGTATTTTTAATGATAATATTTCCTAAGGTTTTTTTTCTCTTGCATACGTGTGAACATTGATAAAACAGGCTCGGCTCCCACCTACAAAACACAAAAACAATTCCGTTCACTCAACGTGAACGTTCTATCTGGTTTCAGTTTATTAGAGCTGAGTTGTCAGTTTGAAGGTTTTTCTTTTTCTGGTCCTGGGAGAGAGAGAGAGAGAGAGAGAGGAAAAAAAAGATAAAGTAATAATAGGCAGCAAAATTTTCTCTATTCCTCACTTTGAGAGGATGGCGTAGAGAGGTTGCCATTTTTTCCCCCTGCAGTGCTCTGAAATTATTATTATTATTATTATGATGGGGTGCTGTTGTGCATTCTCCCGGTTAAGAAAAAAAAGCAAGTTAGAAATAAATGGGTTGTACTCAGCGACTTAGTAATTCAAGTTTCTGTCCTCCAGCCTTACATTTGTTTTGTCCCATTTCGATGGTTAGTTTGGAAGTGTTTTGCAAAAAAAAAGAAAGAAAGAAAAGAAAATCTGTGTGAGGTTGATCTCAGTTGCCTTCAGCTTAAAATGTACAATTTTATTGCAATTTTATGCAATTTTAGGCATCCATCCATCATTTTTTTTGCATGTGATTTACCCTAATATCTGCCAACCCAATTAAACCTCCCCTTCAACTCAACCTCTTACGTTGTTTCTGAGCACCTTCCTGTAATTCTAACGACATGTTAAATTTATGGATTGAGATATTTGTTAGTTGAGAAGTCATGTCCAACCCATCGCGACCCCATGGACAATGTTCCTCCAGGCCTTCCTGTCCTCTACCATCTTCTGGAGTCCATTTAAGCTCACGCCTCCTGCTTCAGGGACTCCATCCAGCCCCCTCCTTCTCTGTCGTCCCCTTCTTCTCTTGCCCTCCATCTTTCCCAGAATCAGGATCTTCTCCAGTGAGTCCCTCCTTCTCATTAGGTGGCCAAAGTACTTGAGTTTCAACTTCAAGATCTGGCCTTCTAAAGAGCAGTTGGGGTTGATCTCCTCTAGGACTGACCGGTTTGATTGCCTTGCAGTCCAAGGGACTCGCAGGAGTCTTCTCCAGCACCAGAGTTCAAAGGCCTCCATTCTTTTGTGCTCGGCCTTTCTTATGGTCCAACTTTCGCAGCCATAAAAAAAAAAAATCTAGACCACAGGGAATGAGGTGTGTGTGTGGGGTTCCCTGGAATTTTCTCTACAATGCACCAAGGATCCAATCTTGGAGAAGAGAAGAAGCATTCTAATCTTGGCACAGCAACTAGGTGAAACTTCAGCGAACGTTGTTTAGGTAAGCAGAGTCACCCGGTTGCTAAGCAACTTTACAGTGTTTGTCTAGCTTGCAGCATTGTGTCAAAAGCTATATGAAGAGGAGGAAGCACGTGTGTGACAGGTGTCAGCAGAGATGCTGACCTACAGAAGCTTGGGAAGCAAAATGATATTTTTTAAAAAAAGGCTTTGTGACTTTCTCTAACAAGAAGAAATCTTTCCGTGTCTGGATTCCAACTGATGGGAAAGAAGGAGATGACATGTTAGACCAAGATGAAGTAGGACTAGGGCAAAGAAGTCGGATGGAGGAAAATGGCATCAAACGTGGCTGATTCTCTATCCAACTTCTCTGGGTTACTCTTACGGCTCATAAATCTGATTTTCTGTCCACCGATGGCAATTTAAACCTGTCACTCTTCTCTCTGATGGTATCAGTTTTCTTCTGATCACCCCTTCTAGCTCATTGGAGGCGGCTCTTAGCAGTTACAACAGTTCATCAGTGGAATGACTTTGCCTCCAAAAGTTGCAGGTGCTCCAACACTGGAGATTTTTGAGAAGAGATTAGAAAACTGTTCGTCTGAAATGGTTTAGGGCCATGGTGGCGAACCTATGGCATGGGTGCCACTGGTGGCATGCAGTGCCCTCTCTGTGGGCATGCGCACCATTGCCCAAGTCCTAGGCCTACATCTGGGTTTTATAAAACCTTTTTGCTTTAGGCCTCCGTGCCCGTGTGCAAAAAAAAAAAAAAAGGTTCAATCAATCAATCAATCAATTTCAACTTCTTGCAGGAAAAAAAAGATCTCGCAAAGTTGGAATTGATTGATTGAACTTTTTAGTCCCATCTAGTCTGCCATTACCACCGCAGCCACGCCCACCCAATGGGCCACATCCACCCAATGGGCCACACCTACCCAATGGGCCACACCCACCCAATGGGCCATGCCCACCCGGCACCTGATAATGCATAAGTGGGTTTTGGGTTGCAGTTTGGGCACTCGGTCTCTAAAAAGTTCGCCTTCACTGGTATAGGGTCTCCTGCTTGAGCAAGGGGTTGGACTAGAAGACCTCCAAGGTCCCTTCTGACTCTATTCTTCTCCTTGAGAGAGCAGAAGCAGGATTCAGGTGCAACCTTTGGGGGGGGGGAACAGACCGCTCCTCATGTTTCCTTAGCAAAATGAGGTATTTTTCCTTCCCACTGCCTAGCATCGTATTTCTCAGCCTTGGCAACTGTGGATTTCAGCTTGCAGAATTCCCCAGCCAGCCCTGCTTATCGTAACATTCCCCAGCTTGAAAACCCCTGACCTAGTGGATCACCTTTAACACAACCTCTTAGGCTCCAATAAGGCATCAATCAACAAGAAGGAAGCGATAGTTTTAGAAGTCCGTGATGTCCTATTGATGCAAATCTTGCAGGGCAAGATATTTAGCGAGCTCTTTAAAACTCCCTTCTCTTAATACAATTTGAATCTCACTTTCCGTGAAATGAATCCATTTCTCGATTTCATAACCATGAAACTTACATTCCGGGGAATTGACATATTTATGAATTTAATCCATTCATGTGTCCATCTGTCTGGTTGACATGGGCGGCTAAGTATTAAAGACGAAATAAAAACAGGTTAAGAACAACCAATACTTAAAAAAAAACAATCCCAATGTGAATAGCATAAAGTAGCAGCTGAGAACATTCAAATCTGCTATGACATGGGCTCATCCATGGCCGTATAGGGCCCCAGGCTTGATGACAAAGCCAGAATGTTAAGGCCAGGAGAATTGGGGCCAATCGGATCAATATGGAGATTCTTAACCATCCAGGTCATGATCATCCCCAAGGTGCTTTTTCAAAAGGCAACTGGACTTTGTTTTTTTTCCATGAAGATGTTTCACTTCCCACCCAAGAAGCTTCTTCAGTTCTGACTTCAGCTGAAAACTGAAGAAGCTTCTTGGCTGAGAAGTGAAACTTCTTCAAGGGGAAAAAATGGCCAGGTGCCTTTTGAAAATGTGCCTTTGGGATGGCTGTTCTGATGGTGTGTGTGGGTGAGACAGAGACACAGAAACAGAGAGAGAGATAGAGAGACAGAGAGAAAGAGAGAGACAGAAAAAGACAGAGGCAGAGGGACAGAGAGAGAGACAGACAGACAGACAGAAACAGAGAGAGAGAGAGAGAGAGAGAGAGAGATGGACAGACAGACACACGAACTCTCTGAGAAAAACAGGGATAGAGACACAGAGAGAGACAGAGAGGGAGAAAGACAGAGGAACAGAGAGAGACAGACACAGAGACAGAGAGACAGAGAAACAGAAACAGACAGAGAGACAGAGAGACAGAGAGAGAGAGAGACAGAGAGACAGACACACACACAGAAACAGAGATAGAGACACAGAGAGAGAGACACACAGAGAGAAAGACAGAGGGACAAAGAGAGAGACAGACAGAAACAGAGAAACAGACAGACAGACAGACAGACAGAAACAGAGGGATAGAGACAGAGAGAGACACAGACAGAGGGACAGAGAGACAGAGACACAGAAACAGAGAGAGAGAGAGAGAGAGACAGACAGAGAAATAGAGAGAGACAGATACAGAGACAGAGACAGACAGACTGAGACAGCGAAACAGCAGGCACCACTAAACTGCATCTCTTATTAAGTTCAGTAGTTGCAACCCTTTCTGACCATCTGGGGCAAGGATGGGAAGACTGCTTCTCCTCTTCTTTCCTGTTCATTTGACTGGTTTGTCTCCTTTGCAGGTGCCCTGCAAAATCCTAGCCATCCTCCTTCACTTCTTCTTCTTGAGCACCTTTGCTTGGATGCTGGTGGAAGGGTTCCACCTCTACAGTATGGTGATCAAAGTCTTTGGATCCGAAGAGAACAAGCTCTTATACTACTATGGCATTGGATGGGGTAAGTCGGGCCTCGTTTTACCCTTAAAAGGAAAAAAAAATTAATGATGACTTCACAGGGACAGAAGAAGGTTCTTGCAAGCCAACCAACCATCAACTCTTTTTAGCCGCAATCCACCATCAACTGCTGAATGTCACCACCCTGGATCATTGCCTCCCACACAAAAAGTTCTGTGACTTCTCTTTCTTCTCCTTCCTCTTCTTTTGATCTTCCTCTTCTGCAGGAAGGTGTGATGGAGGACATTTCGCTGAGAACCCCCCAAAAGTAGGATTTGGAAGTCAGCTGCAGGATCGGACGATGGTAGAAACACAGCCAGGGAGGGTTGTTTTCATTGAGTTGTGTTGAGGAACTTCCCTTCCAAGTTCTATTGAGCTCTCAACATCCCCTTGACGGCAAAGAAGAAGAAGAAGAAGAAGAAGAAGAAGAAGAAGAAGAAGAAGAAGAAGAAGAAGAAGAAGAAGAAGAAGAAGAAGAAGAAGGAGGAGGATGAGGAGGAGGAGGAGGAGGAGGAGGAGGAGGAGGAGGAGGAGGAGGAGGAGGAGGAAAAAGAAGAAGAAGAGGAAGAAGAGGAAGAAGAAGAGGAAGAAGCAGAAGAAGAAGAAGAGGAAGAAGAAGAAGAAGGAGGAGGAGGAGGAGAAGAAGGAGAAGAAGAAGAAGAAGAAATTAATCAGAATGAAAAAAGTCTCCTCCTTAAACCTTAACAGTCTGCAAAGGCAAAGAACCAGAGGGATGCTTTTCCCACCTTAGGGAGGAAGCGGGTTGGCTATACAAATTGGACCCATAAATAAATGAAAAAAATGAAAAGACCCTCCCTCCTTTCAGATTCTAATCAGAAAATTGCCCTATTACCTCTGGGATTCAGTTGCAAGACAGCCAGATTATCCCACTTGGAAAACAATGTCTCTCAGCTCTTCCGCTTCCTTCTCAATCTTTTGCTTTACCCTTTTCCTAGTAATTAACCCATGCTTAGCATCTTAGAATGCCAGAAGGGAAGGACCAATATTGATTTTTTTTTTTTTTGCATCAAACCTTCTAGCTCCCTGCCTGAAGCAATGACTTATTCATGATTTAATTTGCTTGTCGGCCTGCTTGCTTGCTTCCTGGTTGGATTGCAGTTTACCGGAACTAAATCCAGGCCTGTAAAAACCATTACAGAAAGGTAGAACTTCTCCATATCTTTGCTAGCTTCTAGGCTACCATGCATTCTTCTTTGCGGGAGGGTCTCAACAATGGAGAATATTTGTAGCTCAGGATTGACTGTGGGGTCCTTGGTGCTCTCTGGGCTTGGTGGTTTCCTTGCAGATGTTTCATGACCCAACCTAGATAATATTATCAGTCCTTGGTGCTCTCTGAGCTTGGTTGTTTTCTTCCAGACATTTCATTACCTAAACCAGGTAGCATCATCATTGCTGATGATGTTACCTAGTTGGGTAATAAAACATCTGCAAGAAAATAACCAAGCTCAGAGAGCACCAAGGACCCCTCATCCCTAGGGTCTATTCCTGGGGATTCAGCTGTCCCTAATGGGAAGAATTCATATTCATCACAATTAATTCACTTCCAACAAATTAGAAATGAGTATTTTTTAAATACCGACAAGTATCTGACAGACTGTTTTCCTGTTTAAACAACTGTTTGTAGAACATCTTCGTGGGGGGTCTTTCTTGATTGCCTTTACTCTTGAAGTGCAAGTCCTTTTTCTATCACAAGTTGTACTTCTGTTCCTTATCCTCTGGATTCAAAGCAGGGTTGTGCTAAAGACATTTGCTGAAACAGAAAGAAAGAAAAAATCCTTATAATAATTGTAAGACAGAGGAGCAGGTATCCCAAAAGCTATTCTGTACTAATGGAGGAAACAGGAATGATTGAATCCAACCATTGCTCCAGATATTTTGGACAAAAAATGAACATTAAAGAATCATGAGGCTCAACACTAGGAGCCATTGCTGAAGAAACCTATTTGTCCCCAAATGCAATGTGAAATGGCGTATATTTATGGCTTTTTAACGATTCATTTCATGTTTAATATACTTATGACTCAGCTGGATCTCCAGCTGTGCAGAATTCCACATATTTGACATTAGAAATCATCCTTCTAACAAAGAAGAGCTTGTTATAGAAAAAAAGATAGATAGATAGAGATAGATGATAGATAGATAGATAGATAGATAGATAGATAGATAGATAGGTAGGTAGGTAGGTAGGTAGGTAGGTAGGTAGGTAGGTAGGTAGGTAGATTAGATAGATAGATAGATAGATAGATAGATAGATAGATAGATAGATAGATAGATAGATAGATAGATAGATAGATAGATGAGATAGATGAGATAGAAGATAGATAGATAGATAGATAGATAGATATAAATAAGATGATAGACAGATGAGATAGATAGATAGATAAATAGATGTGATAGAAGATAGATACAAGATAGATAGATAATGATAGATAGATAGATAGATAGATAGATAGATAGATAGATAGATAGATAGATAGATAGATGGATGGATGGATGGATGGATGGATGGATAGATAGATAGATAGATAATGATGGATGGATGGATGGATGGATAGATGGATAGATAGAGAGATAGAGAGATAGATAGCAATGGGAACTAAAGATTAAGGGGAGAGGGACTTTATCTGGACCAGGTTATTTTACCAAGAACTTTTGGAAGCAGATTACATTATGTATAATAATAGCACCAGGAGCATTTTCATTGCTTCCGTTAACCATCTGTTACTCTCCCTGCTTCACACAAGTGTAAAATCGAGACATTAAAGGTGGATTCCACTTTAAGCTGAGCTACAACTTTGCGTGAGCGAAATAAGATCGTCATGCATCTGTTTCTAATCTCGCCACGGTTGGGTAAGAATTCTGAACGTATCTTATTATAGCCAATCTATCGCTCTTAAACTTCCAGCCAAGCATTGAAATGAGGACACCCACCACCGAGGCAGACATCCTAGAACAATTTCAATCTTATGACCTTAAATGGATTTAATTCTTTGCTGTCTCAAGCGATTGAGCCTTTCCAAGCAATCTGTGTATTTCAGATTAGCCAAATCTCAGTCGCATTTAACTGTGGCGATCCACCAAATGCTGTCTTCATTTTACTCAGTATACCTTCTCATTTTCCATTACAACACACACAACACCCATACGCCCACAACACCCTCAGCAAAGAGAAACTTGAGCAGCCGATCCTGTTACGTGCACAGAATTATTTCTCCAGTTATCCAGTTGACTAGTCTGCATTTCACCTCCATCCGTTTCATTATTTTACCAAGAAGCTCTCTGTTTAATTTTCTTCTCGGATGCAACCCTGAGCTGATAAATAATCAAGTTAAACCCCAGGAACATCTGAGATGCACGATGGGGGGGAAAAAAATCAGCCAGGTTACAGCTGTTTAACACCTTGGCTGAACTCTCTCTTCGGGTCTAACAGGAATATTGATGAGCGTTTATTCTTTTATTATATTTCCTTCCCCCCCCCATGTTTAAGCTCTATTTCAATTCAGAAAGTCTCCATCAAAATGGATCTTTAGCATCTATCATAGAAGAACAAGAAGAAACTCACAAGGAATTCTCTCCAGGGAGATGAAATTGCTTGATGAAGCAGAGAGGGTGAAAAATGTGGGAACTTTGTCCTACTCTAATTCAGAAGATGCATTGTGGCTGGGCTGGTGGCAGCCATCTGGGGCAGTGAGGTCTACAGTACAGGGGGCAATGGGTGGATCTAGTGTTTTCTATTCTTTTAACTGGTGGGGGATGGACTGCTTCCACTGATGTCTGGAGGATGGAGGAGGAGGAGGAGGAAGAGAAGGAGAAGAAGAAGAAGAAGAAGAAGAAGAAGAAGAAGAAGAAGAAGAAGAAGAAGAAGAAGAAGAAGAAGAAGAAGAAGAAGAAGAAGAAGAAGAAGAAGAAGAAGAAGAAGAAGAAGAGGAGAAGTTGGAAAGGGCCTTGGAGGTCATCTAATCCAATCCCCTGCTCAGGCAGGAAACCCTATACCATTGCAGACAGCTTCTGCAGCTTGTTCAACTGGTTAATTGTTCTAACTGTCAGGACGTTCCTCCTTAGTTCTAGGTTGCTTCTCTCCTTGATTACTTTCTATCCGTTACTTCTTGTCCTGCCTTCAGGTGCCATGGAGAATAGCTTGACTCCCTCTTCTTTGGGACAGGCCCCGAGATACTGGAAGACTGCTATCATGCCCCCCTCATCCTTCTCTTCATTAAACTAGACTTCCCCGATTCCGTTCCTTATATGTTTTAGCCTCCAGTCCCCTAATCATCTTCGTTGCTCTTCTCTGTACTCTTTCTAGAGTCTCAATATCTTTTTTACATTGTGGTGACCAAAACTGGATGCCGTATTCCAAGTGTGGCCTTATCAAGGCATTGTAAAGTAGTATTAATAATATTAGTATTAATGTAAAGTGGGAAGAAGAAGAAGGAGAAGAAGAAGAAGAAGAAGAAGAAAAAGAAGAAGAAGGAGAAGGAGGAGAAGAAGAAGAAGAAGAAGAAGAAGAAGAAGAAGAAGAAGAAGAAGAAGAAGAAGAAGAAGAAGAAGAAGAAGAAGAAGAAGAAGAAGAAGAAGAAGGAGAGGAGGAGGAGGAGAAGAAAAAGAAGAAGAAGAAGAAGAAGAAGAAGAAGAAGAAGAAGAAGAAGAAGAAGAAGAAGAAGAAGAAGAAGAAGAAGAAGAAGAAGAACCAATGCTGTTGCTTTGCTTACTTCCTCTTAGATGGAAGGCAGCTAGAATGCTTGAGAGACCCCCCTCCCCTTCAAGAAGGTGTCTTGCTCCAGTCATTCTCAAAGCAAAGCACCCCCTCAAAGATTTCCACCACCCCACTGCTGTCCATTTTAAAATCCCTCTTTAGAACTTATAAATTCACGAAACAGTAGCCGTTTCTTTGCTCACGCCTTCCACCACTATTGTACATTGATCGTAGGCTCGCTTTGTTTCCAGTAATGCCTGCTAGTTTCCTATTATGCATCCATATGCCTCTGTAATTGAATTTGCAACACTTTGCCAGAAATCTATCTTTCTTCAGCAACACCGATAATGAAGAGGGAGCCAACTGTGAAGCACTCCCCCCCACGCAGGCCCTAAACTTTCCTTGCAAAATGTGATCAAAGACTGCAGCTATTAAAACATCAAGTCACAAAAAAAAGAGGGCGATTTTAAGGGCAGTCACATTGCTTTTTCATGATGTAGCTGCTGGCTCACCCAAGGCCCATCTGGTGATGGGGCTGGTGAAATTCAGGAACAACCAGCAACCCAACTCTTTATCTTACAACCAGGTCCACATGTGAAGATCTAGTTAAACTGATTTATTGCTAATCGTGCCTATGTAAATTAATCAACTAATGATTAGCACCTGCTAGGAGTTAGATAAGGGTTCATGAATTTCAAGGGAGAGGTTGGACTTGTTTTGCTTGTGCTTATGTAGCGATTCTAGGCTGATCCCTCTTTTGACTCCATCCTCGAGTTTTGCCACTCCTTCTCCTTACACTTTCAATGTGAATGGGATGGGATGGGATGGGATGGGATGGGATGGAATAGAATAGAATAGAATAGAATAGAATAGAATAGAATAGAATAGAATAGAATAGAATAGAATAGAATAAAGATTGTAGAATAGAATAGAATAGAATAGAATAGAATAGAATAAAGATTGTAGAATAGAATAGAATAGAATAGAATAGAATAAAGATTATAGAATAGAATAAAATAGAATAGAATAGAATAGAATAGAATAGAATAGAATAGAATAGAATAAAGATTGTAGAATAGAATAGAATAGAATAGAATAGAATAGAATAGAATAGAATAGAATAGAATAGAATAAAGATTGTAGAATAGAATAGAATAGAATAGAATAAAGATTGTAGAATAGAATAGAATAGAATAGAATAAAGATTGTAGAATAGAATAGAATAGAATAGAATAGAATAGAATAGAATAGAATAGAATTAGAGTAACATAGAATAGAATGGAATGGAATGGAATGGAATGGAATAGAATAGAATAGAATAGAATAGAATAGAATAGAATAGAGAAAGGAATAGAATAGAATAGAATAGAATAGAATAGAATAGAATAGAATAGAATAGAATAGAGAAAGGAATAGAATAGAATAGAATAGAATAGAATAGAATAGAATAGAAAAGAAAAAGGAATAGAATAGAAAAAGGATTAGAATAGAATAGAATAGAATAGAATAGAGAAAGGAATAGAATAGAATAGAATAGAATAGAATAGAATAGAATAGAATAGAATAGAATAGAATAGAATAGAATAGAAGCTGGAAAGGACCTTGGAGGAGAAGGTCTGAGGAATTCTGGGAATTGAAGTCTACAAGTCATAAAAGGGCCACATTTGAGGACCCCTGGACTCCCTGTTATGGGCAACCATTTTTGTGTTCAGGAGCACATGCGCATAATGCAGAACTATATTGACAAGATGAAGCAGATATTGTCCAAGAAAGAGAGAGAGAGAGAGAGAGAGAGAGAGAGAGAGAGAATGTGGGTATTTTCATAGTAATAGAAGAACCACATTTATAATCCTTAAACCACATCCAATGGTTTCATGATGTCCTTCCTGGACCATCCTTCTATTTTTATCCTCTTCTGATGAAGATGCTAATGCTGTCCTCTTCATTCCTGCAGGCTGCCCATTCCTGATCTGTGTCATTTCTGCAACGACCTCTGTGGAAAGCTATGGAGAAGTCAACAAGTAAGTTCTGGAAATGAGGAATTATAAATTTGTTGCTGCTATGATAGCTCCTTTGAAGAATGTAGGGTTCGTGGACGGCGTCACCTGTCCGTATTTGCTCCAACTGTCTGAGCATTAAGCAGTCCCCATGGATCCATATCCTGGCTCAGTTTCCTTAATGCAGCGTCCTTCAGATGTACCTGAGAACGGTGGGACCTGAAGTCCAGGAGATAAAAGCCCTACAGCTTGGCCTTTCTGCCACATCCAGATCATGTTAAAGCTAGCAAAGATTGCATTCCATTTGCAATGTTAGTTCCAAGGTGATAGCCTTCTGGAGATAGCTGTGGCTGAAGCGAAAACCATGGGCTTTCCCCTCTCTTTTGTTCTTTGAACAAAGGCCTGGAATGAAGGAAGCAAGCAGGAGAACTTTTTCTGCTGTCCATCCACTCCAGCCTTTCTCCTTACTACATATTTTTAAATCAATGGTGGTTTCGAACTTACAAACTGATCATCCCCATGCTACAATGTCATGAATAGAATAGAATAGAATAGAATAGAATAGAATAGAATAGAATAGAATATAGAATAGAATAGAATAGAATAGAATAGAATAGAATAGAATAGAATAGAACTGGAAGGGACCTTGGAGGTCTTCTAGTCCAGCCCCCTGCTCAAGCAGGAGAACCTATACCATCTCAGACAGGTGATTGTCTAGTCTCTTTTTTAAAATCTCCAGTGACGAAGTGCCCACAATTTCTGGAGGCAAGCTGTTCCACTGGTTTATTGTCCTCACTGTGAGGAAGTTTCTCCTTAGTTCCAGGTTGCTTCTCTCTTTGATCAGTTTCCAACCGTTGTTTCTCATCCTTCCATCTGGTGCTTTGGAGAACAATGTGACCCCCTCTGCCTTGTGGCAGCCCCTCAGATACTGGAACACTGCTATCCTGTCTCCCCTATCTCTTATTTTCTTGGCCGAACCCAAGTCCCGTAGCCGTTCTTTGTATGTTTTAGTCTCCAGGCCTTTGATCATCATAGTTGCTTTTCTCTGAAGTTTTTCCAAACTCTCAACATCTTTTTTGTAATATGGTGACCAAAATTGGCTGCAGTATTCCAGGTGTGATGTCTTTCCCTCTTCCTTTGCAGCTGTTGGCTATCATTGGAGAGCGGTGCCATTTGGGCTTTTGTGGGCCCAGCTCTGTTCATCATTGTGGTAGGTTTGCCTTCCTTCTGTTGTCCCTTAGAAGCTCCAGGGGAACCGGTGGGATGACCATTGCAGGCCATGTTGGACCATAGGGAGCTCAACTCTGGTAGCACCTTTGCCAACCAGCAGATGTTTCTGAAAAGCCACCAGCTTCACCAGATGCATCTCCCTTCACCAGGTGCCTCAGGTAACATCTGTGAAGGAAGCTGCAGTTCACAAAAGTTGGGAAAAGTAACTACCAGATGTCTCCTGTCTTTTTACTCCTATAGATTGATGTTTCTCAACTGTGACCACTTGATGATGGGTGGGCTTCAGCTCCCAGAATTCCGCAGCCAGCATGAAGATGAAGCCCACCCATCCCCAAGTGGCCATGGTTGAGAGACACTGTTCTAGACCAACCCATCTCTCCCCCTCCAGTATTCCGTAAAGGATGTGAGATAGTCAGAGGCCATTTCTTGCATCTTGGGAAGGAACAAAGGACAATATGGAGATCCTCAATCATCCAGGTCATGGTTGTCCCAAAGGTGCTTTTTCAAAAGGCAACTAGACTTTGTTTTTCCTTCAAGACATTTCACTTCTCATCCAAGAAGCTTCTTGGATGAGAAATAAAACGTCTTGAAGGAAAAGCCAAGTCCAGTTACCTTTTGAAAAAGCACCTTTGGGAGAACAAAAGAGAAGGGTAGGGCTGCAGCATTCCTATGTTTGCATGAATCCCCTGGAAGACACCAAGAATCCATAATTACCAGAATGAAAAGAGGGGCTCCTAATACACCCCTGTTTCCCAGGGGTGAAAAACAGCTAGTTCTGGCTAAGCGTTCTCTCCTTCTACGTCTACCTGGCTAACTGAATGACCCTTCTATTTTCTCTTCTACAATTGCAGCTTTGAACAGCCTGCCCCCTCCCCATCCCTTTCATAATGAGAAGCAGCAGATCCGCTGCTACTCAGCTCCGCAAGTCAATAGCCCACCCCTCCCAGGGTTCACACTCCATCGAAAGGGGAGAGTTAAAGCAAGTTGGTTAACTCCCAAAGCTGCTGGGGGCACATCTGTTGGCTGTAACAAACGCTGTCTTCCCAAGTGGGAGTTGCAAGTTCATGATGGGCCTTCCTGATACATAATGTATGACAGTGATTTAATTGTAGCCGTGCCTTAAATTGAATCAAATTGTGGCTTAATCACTCCAACGGATCTTGGAAGTTGCAAGAGATGGCTCTCTCTCTCTCTCTCTCTCTCTCTCTCTCCCTCTCTCTCCCTCTCTCCCTCTCCCTCTCCCTCTCTCTCCTCTCTCTCTCTCTCTCTCCCTCTCTCTCTCTCTCTCCCTCCCTCCCTCTCTCTCTCTCTCTCTCTCTCTCTCTCCCTCTCTCTCTCTCTCTCCCTCCCTCTCTCTCTCTCTCTCTCCCTCCCTCCCTCTCTCCCTCTCTCTCTCTTCCCCCTGATAGATTAAGGAAGCAGACGATCCTCTCTTTAGGCTATGCTTAGCCCTGTCTGCTTAGATGTTTTTTTTTATCGATTGAGAAGTTTCTCTGATGATAAAGAAAACCCAGCCACGGGTTGTCCCTGACAAATGGAAGGGTAAACATATTGACTGAGCATTCATGTTGTCATCGGTCATCATCTACAAGAGGCTCGCCCTGTGCACTGGAGGGTTGTGTGTTTAGCAAATCTAAAATGGGAATCTGGAGATTCGTTTTGCATGTCCTACTTTTAAGCGGGTTGAGATTTAAGGAAAACAAAACAAAAGAGGCATGGACTGGTTTTGTAAGACATCTCAAACACGCTGTGACTAAGCTGAGTGCGTAGGGTGTCTGCAGAGGGGGAGAGGGCTATGCTGTCACGTGCATTGTGTCACAGCTGTGTTGTGCACTGGGGTCCTGACATGCTGTGAGGTTGCTGTGGCTTGGGTGTATGGCTGAGGGTAATAAACTGGTTGAAGGAGACGACAAAGTAGTAGTCCATTAATGAAAACCTCCTGCTGGTAGAAGTGTAAAAGGAATAATAAACCATACACAACCACAGAAGAAGAATTCAAGTCTTCCCTGCCTGTTAAATTTTGTTTATTGTCAACTCTTGCCAATCTCTTCCTTCCTTCCTTCCTTCCTTCCTTCCTTCCTTCCTTCCTTCCTTCCTTCCTTCCTTCCTTCCTTCCTTCCTTAACTGTGGGGTCCTTGGTGCTCTCTGAGCTTGGTTGTTTTCTTGCAGACATTTTATCACCAAACTAGTTAACATCATCATTGCTAGAAGGGAGTGGCCCTGTTTATACTCCAACAGAATTCCTCCAATTAAGGAACTACCAACTGAATAAACAACAATCCCCCCCCCTCAGACCACTCCCATCAGCACTGTTGGGAGAAGCCACTAAAAGACAAAGAGCACCCCCCCCCTTTTATCACTGATGATGTTACCTAGTTGGGTCATGCAACTTCTGCAAGAAAACCACCAAGCTCAGAGAGCACCAAGGACCTCAGAGTTCTCCTCCTCCTCCTCCTCCTCCTCTTCCTCCATCCCCTTCTAGCAGTTATTATATTGTCTAGTAGAGACAAGAAATGTCTGCAAGCAGACAACCAAGCACCAAGGACCCCAAAAATGCAACACTATCCACACGACTCCCTTCTAACACCGATGATGTTATCTAGTTGGGTCATGAAATATCTGCAAGAAAACCACCAAGCTCAGAGAGCACCAAGGACCCCAGAGTCATCATTGTCCTCCTCCTCCTCCTCCTCCTCCTCCTCCTCCTCCTCCTCCTCCATCCCCTTCTAGCAGTGATGATGTTACCTAATTGGGTCATGAAATATCTGCAAGAAAACCGCCAAGCTCAGAGAGCACCAAGGACCCCAAAAATGCAACACTATCCACACTGCTCCTCCAACCTATATAATATTAGGGGCTGGATAGTCCTGGAAACCACATAGAGATTTCCCCGAATTTTTTTTAAGACTTAGCTTTACATTTCATCTTTTAATAGCATTTATTTCCAAGAGCTGTCCTTAGTGTTTTCCTTTGAAGAAATCTGGCCTGGAACTGCATGGCAATTTAAAAAGAACGAACACGGGCTAGAAACCCACTAAGAAGGATCATCGTTAACCACCAAAAGACCCTTCATCCCTGCCTTTATTTCTCAGCCACAGCCTTGACAGGTGCTTGGATTTTATCCTTGACAAGGCAGCTCAGTTCTTCCCAAAATATAAGCTGCTTGGAGACCATCTCAGGGGGATACGTGGGATGGGTCCTTCCAACTCAGTTGGTAACAACATCCGCAGACGCAAGGAACACCATCTGCAAAACGATTTTCTGCCTGAGCTTATAAAGGATCCCACAATCACAACAACTCGGCAAGTGCCTATTAATGATGATAGACAGGAGCTTAGTCCACTCCAACAGAGGGAATTAAAGTGCTGGGGAAAAAAAAATCTTATAAAAAGAAAACCTGTTGAAATTGAGAGCTTGCATTTCCAGGAGCCTCTCGAACTGACTTTTTAAAAGTTCGATGATTGGAAATCGATTCTTTTCTCTCCTGATCCAGATGAAGGAAGCAGAAAGAGTCCCTGGTTTCATGTTCCGGAGTTGTTTAGTTTTGTTTTTCAAGGAGAGAGGTCTCCCTGGACATTTGAAGGAAATTCAGGATTCATCCATTACTGAGTTCATTGTGCTAAGACATAATGTTGCTTACTTATAACCAGCAATTCTGGCTTGTACAAGAATGGTTGATGACTGAATGTGATGTGAACCCTCCTATTTTGGCCCATTTCATAAACCATGATTAATACAAATAATTCCCCCAGCCTCTTAAAGTGCCCAGCCTTCCTGGCCTAAACAGTAGGACCAATTCTGAGTCTCAATTTTGCATGCAGGAGCGATCCGAGAACTATCCTTAGCATCTCAAGAGAAAACAATAAGCTGATTGAGTGTCTAATTCGCAAGGTGGTTTTCTTCATTTTTAGCTTAGCTTAGATCCTTCTGCTGGTTGGACCCATCATGACACTTATGGTAGGGACATTCCCTAGATCCACAACATCTTTTATACCATGTGGTCTCCTTCCTACAATCTAGTCTGCTCAACATTTCAAAAAGAAAGGGTCAATCTTAAAGAAGAGGGGGTCAATTTTGAGCAACGAAGAGGGGGTCAATCTTGAACAAAGAAGAGGGGGTCAATCTTGAGCAAAGAAGAAACGGTCAATCTTGAGCAAAGAAGAGGAGGTCAATCTTGAGCAAAGAAGAGGAGGTCAATCTTGAGCAAAGAAGAGGGGGTCCATCTTGAACAAAGAAGAGGAGGTCAATCTTGAACAAAGAAGAAATGGTCAATCTTGAGCAAAGAAGAGGAGGTCAATCTTGAGCAAAGAAGAAACGGTCAATCTTGAGCAAAGAAGAGAGGGTCAATCTTGAACAAAGAAGAGGAGGTCAACCTTGAACAAAGACGAGACGGTCAATCTTGAGCAAAGAATAGACGGTCAATCTTGAGCAAAGAAGAGGGGTCAATCTTGAACAAAGAAGAGGGGGTCAACCTAACCTCGAAATCACCTGAAGGCAGGACAAGAAGCCATGGATGGAAACTCATCAAGGAGAGAAGCAACCTAGAACTAAGGAGGAATTTCCTAACAGTGAAAACAATTAACCAATGGAACAACTTGCCTCCAACACTGGAGGTTTTTAAGAAGAGATTGGACAACCACTTGTCTGAAATGGTATAGGGTTTCCTGCTTAAGTAGGCGGTTGGACTAGAAGACCTCCAAGGTCCCTTCCGACTCTTATTCTGCTATTCTGTTATTCGCTTTACAGCCCCCAAATTAGGGAGGGTTCCTTTTAAGACATTTGACACGCCTGGAGTCCTGCTGTGGGCTAAGCTCCCTTTTATCTGACTTTTCCTTTGGTTGTCTCACATTATCCTATCCCCCAAGATCAGATACTGCAAATATCTGGAAAGAGAAAGCCAAAATAGAGCATTTCCTGATGTAACAAGCTGATAGTTGTTCAGAGATTTATTTATTAGCAGGAGTCAAATGGATGTTTTGCTCCATTCGGTTAGAACATTAATAAAGCTATACAGATCTAATTTATTTGCTCAAACTAAAGCTAAGATGCCCGTTGTTTGCCTGTGTGCCTTAAAGTGCTTGGTTATTTGCTGGTGCAACATTTTGATATTAAGAAGGAAATCTCAAAAGTTCCTGGTAGAGTTTTAGATGTTGCAGGGTGCGCGATCAGACTTCGCGGCAATGAACTGTAGTTCGCTTTGCTCTTTTCCAGGAAGATTTGGTAAAGTTGAAAGTGATTTCTTTGCAATAAGCAACGTCAAACCTTTGCAATTCCTGAATCTGGCTTGTCAAAATGTATAGAGAGAAGAGGAAATATCTCCCAGGCTCTCAGGAACTTGTTATTAAAGAAGAAAAGAAGAGTTTAGCAAAGAAAGAAAGAAAGAAAGAAAGAAAGAAAGAAAGAAAGAAAGAAAGAAAGAAAGAAAGAAAGAAAGAAAGAAAGAAAGAAAGAAAATCTCTCCTGACCTGGTCTATCTGAATGAGCTGACAAACCATGACAGCCTTCAACTCATCCAAACAAAAATCATATCTGAGAGTCCTTGAGACCTAGAAGGGGTCCAGCTGTGAAATCAAAGGAGAGGAAAAGAGAATAAATGGCGTAAGGAGAAGGAGAATGTCAAGATTGCCCCTTTAACTGCCCATCTTCAAATCAGAAACTCAAGCAAAGCCCATGCATGGTTTTCTACTTATCTTTGCCAAAACAGGTGGCTGTTACATTTTTATGTTGCACATTTGTTATAGGAGAGAAGCATTTATATAGCACAAATTAGCCAAGAATGAATTCTCTCTCCCTCCCTCCCTCTCCCTCTCTCTCTCCCTCTCTCTCTCCCCCTCTTTCTCTCACCCCTTCTCTCTGTGTCTCTGTCTCTCTGTCTCTCTCCCTCTCTCTCCTTTTCTCTCTCCCTCTTTCTCTCTGTCTCTCTCTCTCCCCCCTCTCTCTCCCTCTCTCCCCCACTCTCTCTCCCTTTCTCTCACCCCCTTCTCTCTGTCTCTGTCTGTCTGTCTCTGTCTCTGTCTCTCTGTCTCTTTCCCTCCCCCTCTCTCTCCCTCTCTCTCCCCCTCTCTCTCACCCCCTTCTCTCTGTTTCTGTCTCTCTCCCTCCCTCCTTCTCCCCCCCTCCCTCTCTCTTCCCCTCTCTCTCCCTTTCTCTCACCCCCTTCTCTCTGTCTCTGTCTCTCTCTCTCTCTCTCTCTCTCTCTCTCTCTCTCTCTCTCTCTCATCTGAGTAGTTTGCAAGTTTTATAGACCACATATATCTCAAACTGGAGCCCAGTTGGCAGCTGTGGGCAATTGTGAAGTATTGGCTAAATAATGGGAAGGTGAGCAAGGAGTATATATTTCCAACTAATTATGGAGATGGAAAATAGATGCCAGAATTCCCGTGAAAGGAAAGGCACCATCTATTATCTGACTTTCCTTGGATGGCTGCTTAATAAAGATATTTATTTGCAGAATGTTATTCAACGGGGGGGGGGGGGGAAGGCTGTCATTATTTTCTCCCCCTAGGAAGTTGATAGGCTCAGTTGCCTACTAAAGAGTTGGGATTTTAAACCTGAAAGCTGAACGTCCGAGTTTAAATGTTAGAATGCAGTCCAATGTCCGGGGCAGGGAACCCAGAACGACACAATGAACCGCTCAAAGTCATTTCTTTATTGCTGTTCGCCTGTAGACAGGAATCTTGTCAGACTGAAGTACATGTTGCATAACTGTTAGATAAATACTGTGAGGATTTAGGATGAATCTCTTTGGGGTCTCTTTCTATTTGAACTATGCAACACAGCACCATATCCAATCCATATTGTGTAGGACTATTGTTGGTTAGGTGCTGATCTTGTCCTATCGCCGTTTTGTTTACTTCAGCCTTATTTTTGTACGCATCCCAGTTTTGAACCACCACAATAAGGATTTGATTTGAGGACGATAACTTCCTTCCAGGAGGTGTTCCCTGACTTGGACTCCAGTCCCCATAATCCTCAACCAGCATATCCACAGGCCTCTGGCTGATGAAGAGGATGGGTGGAGGTCCTCCATTTCATCCTACAATTCCTTTCTCCAGGGTTTAGCTACGTTCCCTTCAATCCAGAGGGGTAGCTCTGAGTTTGAACAATTTTTAAAAAAATATATAAAAGAGCACCTTTTAAGAGCACTTGGAGAAGGAAGATTACTTTGTTATACTTCATAATAGCTGAGATATTAGTGCTTTGGGAAAATCATTATATGGAGCCTAAAATGTGATTTTTATGGGAAAGGACCATAAAAGACTCTCAAGTCAGGGACATGTTTTGCATTCAAAAGGCTCAAAGTCGGTCTTTTGCAAAGCATTCCTTAATATATATATATATTTAAAGGGGGGAAGACAGAATCACACAGAAATTAGCTTGAAATAATTCTGAGTTACATGGTGTGTGTTTATGTGTGCAGGAGCGTGCACATGTATCCAGGCTTCCCCCTACCCCCTCACAACCTATTTATTTGCTTTACTGATGCAGTTCTTTATTATTTTCCTTTTGATAGGTTAATATCTGCATCCTTATTGCCGTGACCAGAGTAATTTCAAGAATAAGTACCGAAAATTATAAAGTCCACGGAGAAGCTAATGCATTCAAGTAAGTTTGCTTTCTTCATTTTTTTTTTCAATTAAGCAGGAGTTTAAACTCCCAAGAACATCTGAACCGCTACTGAATTCTGAGTCTAGATTCATAAAATCTGATTATTATTATTATTTTTAAAAAAGGAATCAAGATTGGATGAATTCTGTAGCACTATTTCATTCCCAAAGGAGAAGGTAACCTCCAGTCTTGTGAAGATCCCAGATATTAAAAAAGGAATCTGAATGTTCAATACAAGTTGGCTGTTGGGGCACTTTTTGAAAAAGACACTTTAGGCAGAGAGTTAAAAATTGGGATCCCATCTAAGTGATAGTCCCCTGGGATTATTTTGTAAACAGTTTTCATCCCTATATTTCAATTTCACAAGCATTTCTTTTGCTGAGTGATAAGCACAAGAAAAATATTTCCTTCCTTCCTTCCTTCCTTCCTTCCTTCCTTCCTTCCTTCCTTCCTTCCTTCTTTCCTTCCTTCCTTCCTTCCTTCCTTCCTTCCTTCCTTCCTTCCTTCCTTCTTTCCTTCCTTCCTTCCTTCCTTCCTCCCTTCCTTTCTCCTTTCCTCCCTTCTTCTTTTCATTCCCTCCCTTCCTTCCTTCCTTCCTTTTTTCCTTCTTCCTTTCCTTTCCTTTCCTTTCATTTCCCTTCCTTTCTTCCTTCCTTCCTTTCTTCCTTCCTTCCTTCCTTCCTTCCTTTCTCTCTCTCCCTTCCTTCCTTCCTTCCTTCCTTCCTTCCTCTTTTTTCCCTTCTTCCTTTCCTCCTTTCCTTTCCTTTCCTTCCTTCTTTCCTTCCTTCCTTCTTCCTTTCCTTCCTTCCTCCTTTTTTCCTTCTTCCTTTCCTTTCCTTTCCCTTCCTTCCTTCCTTCCTTCCTTCCTTCCTTCCATTTCCTGCTCTTTCCTTCCAGCCTTCTCCTCCTCTTCCTTTCATCTTTCCTTTTCCTTCTCCTTCCCTTCCTCATCCTCTCCCCTCCTCCTCCCAGTCTTTCTCCTCCTCCTCTTCCTCCCCCCCCCAGAATACTATTCAGCCTTTGGAACCCGTCAATCTTCCATCTGCCTGGCGTTGTTCATTTGGCATTTGCTATGGCAGAAATTTACAAAATTCATCAAGTGCCTTTATAGACCAGGAACCGCAACAATAACCTTCACTCTTGATTAGAACAGCATGAGATATTTTTAGCCTTTTAGCACAGGCGACACAAGAAAATGAACTTGAAACTAAAAATAAGCAGCCCCGGGCATTTGGTATTTTCCCCTTCTTTCTCATAAAAGAGACAGTCCTAGATAATTTCTTATCTGTATTGAAGAATGCTTGTTTGCTGCAGTGAACTCAAGGACAGGAATGGAGTCCATAATGAATATTTATAAATGGATGCTCAATGGATGTTATCGGCCCATAGAAGGCTTTAAGTAACTGTACAGCTCCTTACAGTAAGCTCTTAATAACACAGCTTGCGATTCCAATTGGCAAGGACCAAACTGGTATGTGTGTACAAATTTGCCCATGTGCATTGAAGGACCCTGGAGATGAAGTTTGTTGGCAGTAAGACTATTTGCTGGAGAGCAATTTTGCCTCATTGCAGCTGGCAAAAACAAATTGGTGTAACTGTTGCCAATAATTTTCCCTGGCACACCGCAGTGTTGAACCCGTGCTGATTTGATTAATGGCATATTGAAGGAGAACATCAATCTGGCCTTATCACTGCTTACCAAAGGACAATCTGATCATCTGAGCCTACTAAGCAAATTCTGATTTCCTCAGGAAACTAAGCTTCAAAGACCTTACTCGTAATCTCCTAAGCGAGTAGCGGAGATTATTTTGTTTGCTTTTGTAGTGGGTCTTGCCTGGTGGATGACAGTTGTAGAACCACACCTGTTTTCTATTCAAGGATGATAGGTTGGTTTTTTGGTTTGTTTGTTGTTTTGCACACATGTCATTTATCACTTACATGGAGCACCACAATGCATTATCTCGGAAAGAGGGCTCCAGTTTATGTCAAAGTTCTGGAGAGCTTTTCTGGACCTCCTAGGAACTGACCAAGGACTCAGTTCTAGTCATCACCCGCAGACAAATGTTGGGACAGAATGATTCAACTCAGTACTGGAGTACTACCTACGTTATTTTATTAATTATGCACAAGATGACTGGACGGACCAAAGTAGCTTATAACAATGCTGTGCACACCAGTACAGACTTCACGCCATTTTGGGGTGAAGGGATTAGCTGGTGACATCATTGTTGCCATGGGGACCTTCAGTTGGAGGCTCCGTTCATGTCCCCGGCAGGAGCTGGAGTAAAGGACAGGAGCTCAACCTTGCCCCATGGCAATTCTTGGGTCTCGAACGTGGGCTTTCTCACTTCCTACCCAGCGTTCCAACCACTGTGCTCCTTAAGGATAGTAGTAAATCAGCAGGGTAGAGATTCCTGTCTCAGCAACAGCCCAAAGTCTCAAAACGGCAAAAACGATGCATTTGCAATGCAAAACTTGTTAAGAGTCTTTCTGTTGAGAGTGCACAGATAGCTCTTCCTTTGAGACAAAACTGCTTTACAGTTCTATTACTTACACACTCTGGTTTTAGGTTTGGTATCCTCCATTTTTTTCCCACCCTTACTTAAGTTGGAACCAAACATCGTGCATATAGAGGTAATCCTTCACATACAATAATTCATTTATAACAGAGTCGGAAGGGACCTTGGAGGTCTTCCAGTCCAACCCCCTGCTCAGACAGGAGACCCTATAACATTTCAGACAAATGGCTTCCAGTCTCTTCTTAAAAACTTCCAGTGTTGGAGCATTCACTGCTTCTAGAGGCAGATTATTCCAATGATTAATTGTTCTCATTGTCAGGAAATTCCTCCTTAGTTCTAGGTTGCTTCTCTCCTTGATTAGTTTCCACCCATTGCTTCTTATCCTGCCTTCTGGTGCTTTGGAGAATAGCTTGAGTCCCTCTTCTTTGTGGCAGCTCCTTAGATATTGGAAGACTGCTATCATGTCACCCCTAGTCCTTCCTTCCATTAAACTAGACATTCCCAGTTCAAGCAACCGTTCTTTATATGTTTTAGTCCTTTAATCATCTTTATTGCTCTTCTCTGTACTCTTTCTAGAGTCTCAACATCTTTTTTACATCCTGGTGACCAAAACTGGATGCAGTACTCCAAGTGTGGCCTTACCAAGGCATTGTAAAGTGGTATTAACACTTCATGCGATCTTGATTCTATCCCTCTGTTCATGCAGCCTAGCACTGTGTTGGCCTTTTTAGCAGCTGCTGCACACAGCTGGCTCATATTTAAGGGATTGTCCACTAGGACTCTGAGATCCTTCTCGCAGTTACTACTATTGAGCAAAGTATCACTATACTATACCTCTGCATTTGGTTTTCCTTGGCCAAATGTAGAGTCTTACTTTTTTCACCACCGAATTTCATTTAGTACCATTTGAAGTTACAGAAGCACTGCAAAAAGTGACTAAGGACTGTTTTTTTTTCAAGCTTATAGCCATTTCAGCATCACATGATCAGGGTCACATGATCAAAATTCAGATGCTTAGCAACTGACACATATTTACGACAGTTGCAGCATCCCAGGGTCATGTGATTGCCCACTTGCGACCTTCCCAGCTGGGCTTTTGCCAGGTAAAATTAATGGGGGAAGTCAGATTCGCTTAATGACTGCCTGATTCACTCAACAATGGCAGAGATTCACTTAATAGCCCTGGCAAGATGGTTGTAAAATTCGGACGCCGTGCTGAGCAATAGAAATTCCTTGTGCTCATAAGTCGAGTACGACCTGTATGCATAGCCTCCCTGTCAGCATGAAAAGGGATCATTGGGGAAGGGCATGAGGCTTTGGTGTGTCTGTCTCCCGCCTTGCGCTGTGCCTGTTATTTGTCCTGGCAGAAGCTCATTAACAGCTTCTCGATAAACTGCCAAGGCCAAGTTTTATGGAATGATTTTGCTCATCATTGCCTCCGGTGTGGTCTAGTGGTCTGGAAAAATCTGTATCATTTCTCCAGTACATGCAGTCTCTGGAATATAAGCTGAGGAATCGACAATGAGATTTGTCATGAATAAGTGGAGGGAGAAAGAGAGAGGGGGGGGGAGAGGGAAGGAGGGAGGGAGTGAGGGAGAGAGGGAGAGAGAGAAGGAGGGAGGGAGAGAGAGACAGAGGGAGAAAAGGGGGTGAGAGAAAGAGGGAGAGGGAGAGAGGGAGAGAGAGAAGGGGGTGAGAGAAAGAGAGAGGTGGAGAGAGAGAGAGGGAGAGGGAGGGAGGGAGAGAGAGGGAGAGAGAGAGAGAGGGAGAGAGAAAAGGGGGTGAAAGAGAGGGAGAGAGAGGCAGGGAGAGAAAGAGGCAGGGAGAGAGAGGGAGAGAGAGAGACAGAGAGAAAGGGGTGAGAGAACGAGGGAGAGCGATATAGGGAGGGAAAGACAGAGAGAAAGAGAGAGAGGGAGGGAGAGGGAGAGAGAGACAGAGGGAGAGAGAGAAGGGGGTGAGAAAGAGGGAGAGAGGGAAAGGAAGAGAGAGAGAAAGATGTCAGGAGGTGGGGAAATGTCTTCAGCTTTTAAAGCAGATCGTCCATTTGAAATCTACATGTAGCGCTTTTCTTTACCATGTGGCTCAGTTATTGCATCACTAAAAAGATGATTCAATTCCCTGAGATGTCAAGAATGAAAACAGCATCCTTTTTGTTTTTTTATTTTTGGATTTGGATGCATAGACCATTTTTTTAAAACTCATGCAATCTTGAAAACAAGCCCAAGGATGAACTAGGTTGAACCACGAATTACACATGTTGATTCTACCAAGCTGAGTTTTTTTTTAATTACTTCCCACTGGTAGACAGAATCTTGCCAGACTGAGGACACTCTGGGAACTGTTAGGGAGGGCTGTCTTCACCCTCTTTTTTTCACACAAAATATCTGGATTGAATTCTCTCTTATTCCTCCGGGAATCCAGACTACATTCCATCACAATGTGTTTATTCCCTCCCTCCCTCCCTCCCGCTCTCTC